TTGTCACTTCTGCTAATAAACCTGGCAGTAAAAAAGTCAGGCCTTAGCAGATTGTACATTGGGTTTGTGACCTTTAAGAATCCTTGGCAATCATGCTGGATAAGAGATTTGTTTACGTATATGTTGGGCCCAGAATATCACTTATACATTTTTTTTTTCTTTTCTGCCACCTTATTTCATTGAGTCTATAGGAACGAGGGAAACTTCTTTGAAACACAAGCCAATATATGTAACCTGAATTTTTTACATGTCAAAATTAGAATAGTCACCATGTGAATTAGAACAGTAGTTCAATTATGATTTTTTTTTTCTCAATTTTAGAAGAAAGATGTACGCATGACCTGAATTAACTTCTACAGGTATCAAGACCATCTTATGCTTGACTAGATCACTAAGATTACGCTTGGTCATGAGAACCAAGTTAACTATAAAATTTGATTTCAATTATCAACAGTAAGTTCTCAGCCTTTATATGGTCAGTATAAGAGTAGAAAGAATGAAAAAAATATTTATAACTAGGTGCTCAGAGATTGAAAAGCAAAAGAAACTCCATTTTGAAATCACAGGTGCCAGAATCGACTCCCTTCTTATTCTTAAAGTATGTTTACACGTCATTTAGCCATTGTCAAAGAAATTGCCCTGGACAGAATTAAATAGGCAAGGAAACTTTAAGAGTATTGCAATAAGGGAGAGAAACCAAACTCAATTTTACTGAAACAAAAGGCAGAAGCATATTTAAATGTTGGGGTGAGCTAGTGGAAGGGTACTAGAGTGCTTTAGCTGGGAGGTTGGTCAGTGTGATTAGGCCACCTGTGGTTGTTAATTGTTGCTCTTCTAAGTTAGGTTCCTACCCATTCACAGAGATTTGGGAGGTAGGTCTACTATCTTCCTTGATTAGGTTTCAAAAAGTTCCCAGGTCTTTGAGAAAGATATTCCTACATCTTAAAACTGGCAACTGGCTTTTAAGATTTATACTTCTCAGGGGCAGAGAACAAATTTTGCATTTCAAGTATTCTAAAGCATATGCTCTAAGAGGGAGGAACCTACAATTATGAAGAAACCTATCTAAAATTTAGTCAAGCTGATGGGGACATTAAGGTCATGTTAGCCACCATCCCACTGATCAAAGTCATTCATGCAGCCAGGGTAATTGTGATCATAACAAATTACTTAAACAGATGACAATGCGTATCCAACCAAACTATTAAGGGCTAATATTCCCTTCACTTCATCAGTGCAGAAGCTAATAATTTGATTCCTCACCTCAAACATATCAGCATAAATGGGTGTCTGAATGGTTCAGTTGGTTGCACATCAGACTCTTGATTTCAGCTTAGGTCATGATCTCAGGGTTGTGGGATCAAGCCTCACATCAGGCTATGCACTGAATGTGGAGCCTACTTAAGATTCTGTCTCCCTCTCTCTCTCTCTCTCTTTCTCTCTGCCCCTCTCCCCTGATCACGTGCTCTCTCTCTAAAACACACAAAAAATTTTAAAAACTAAAAAAAACACATCAGCATGCCAAATTGGAATACTTCTTATTATGATTATTAATGCTGTATAAGGAGAGAAGCCATTCTGTCTTTCATATTTTTTTTCATTTCTCTTAAGAATTTAAGGTGGTAGGGGCGCCTGGGTGGTGCAGTCGGTTAAGCGTCCGACTTCAGCCAGGTCACGATCTCGCGGTCCGGGAGTTCGAGCCCCGCGTCGGGCTCTGGGCTGATGGCTCGGAGCCTGGAGCCTGTTTCCGATTCTGTGTCTCCCTCTCACTCTGCCCCTCCCCCGTTCATGCTCTGTCTCTCTCTGTCCCAAAAATAAATAAAAAACGTTGGAAAAAAAAATTAAAAAAAAAAAAAGAATTTAAGGTGGTAAACTATTTCATGTTTGCCTGTTTTGCAATATTCAAGAACACTGTTTAAAAATTGCTGTAATGACAGATTTTAGAGAGTATTTGAATTTAGTGTCCACAGAAAAGGGGAAATTCAAAGAATCACCTCAATAAACCATCTCTCATTTCTCCAGATCCTTTGGAATTTTAGGAACAGCAAAGACATGTACTACTAAATAATGAAAATTGGTTCATACACTGGCAACCTGGGAATCTGCCCAGGCAGCTGCACAGAGACCCTTCAGCCAGGATTGCCCTCAAATTCTCTGAGCACATGGCTGATTAATCCCTTCATAACTACATTTACATATAGTCCTATGAAAATCAGTCTAAATGATTTCAGGGACACGGTCTTCTCTGTCAAAATAATAGTTCCAGAACACGGAATTCCAGAGGAGAAAATGCCACCAGCAGTGAGTACTTTGTTTTTGATAACTTTTAGGTAACTGCCTGTCTTCCCTTGAAGCACTTTTTTTTCAAATGGATTTGCCTAGACATGTTTGCTCGTTTAGCCCTTGGAGACAGCGGTAAATGGACCCTCTGTCCATTTCTCCCTTCGAGGCAGTCAACATCTTTCACTGGCCACTTCCCTAATGGCTTTTACAAAGCAGGCAAATAAAATCATTATGCATTTTATATCAACACACAGATTACATTTTGTTGTGTCTATCCCTTCTATTCCCAGAGATACTCTCAACTTTATTAATATATCTTAATTAATACATTAATATCTCTCTGGCCCAAGAAATATCACTAATCATTTAAAATTCCTCAAACAGAACTTTGCACAACTTTATGATAAATTTTTACCAGGTAAAGTGGGGTGCAGCAAAAATGCATTTAAATATTCCATTTGCATATAATGTAAAACTTGTTTTTCTAGCATAAAAAAAGAAAAACTTCTTACACTTCGCTTGTTTTGGTCAACAGATGAAATTAAATCACATATAATAATTAATTTTAATATTTTAATCTAAGTTTCTATTTTTCAAAATAGAAAAAAATTATCTACCTTGCAGCTATGTTGTAAATACCAAATGTGATTATATGTAATATTTGTGTTTGTATATGTATTTGCAAATGAATACATGTATGTGCACAGATGTGTGTAGGCATATGTGTATATAAATACACATACATATTCCTTAGCCACCATTTGCATCATACTATGCATTTCATATACTTTAGATAGAGTAATTGTTTTTTTCTTGTAATTATTGTGTACCTGTGGTATTACTTCAGACTTCACTGGAATTTTAACATGACCCAGCAAATTACCTTACAAGAATAATTAAGGAAAGTTTTAAGAAAAAATTTTGAAAAAAAAAATTCAAACATATCAGGGATAACATGCCAGACAGATGGAGTAGAAGGTGAGGAAAAATAAATGTAGATGTACAAAATGGTGCATCTGACCTAAAGAGATCATTTGGCAAGGCAGAGTAATAGGAGTATGAGATGTTTACTATAGGAAATTATGTAAGGGCTTTGAATCCAGGCTATACTACAGTCATTTTGTGCTGAACAGTCAAATGCTAAAGACCTGTCTATTAAAATCAGACATATAACAATGCAGCTGTGTGTTGGAACAAATTAGTTACTACTTCTCTCAGGCTGGATTGGTGTTTATAAAGAAAATAAATATCATGAATAAAATGTGGATGGGGTATTGGTTCTTTGAATGAAGACTCTCAAAGAATAGGTTACCAAATTTAAACTGGATTGGAGGATATAACTGGGACCAATGCCAAAGTAGGGACATCTTATTTTCTCATCTTAGATTTTAGTACCTATGTATGGAGAAATCTAGGTCATAATGCAGTCTTAATACATTAACCAGCCAGCTGCCCAGAGGTCACTGTCTGCTTTACAGATCCATGTTCTACCAGGGCAGCGCCCCCAGTGCCTTCTCAACGATGAGACTCTGTCATCTGGGAAACACAGCCCAAGGAATATGAAGGTTTTACTATTTTCACATAATGGGAAAGTTATTCCTCTCAAGGAAAGAGTGAAAAGAGTGTAAGGGACCTTGATTTTGTAGGAACACAGAAGTTCCCATTTCTACGGCAAGATTAAGGTTTTTCTTTTAATCACTATGAAGCATCTACATTAAATGTCACTGTTGTGGAAGTTCTAGCCCATGTAAATATGACGTGGAAACAAGAATAGAAATAAATTATAATTAAAATATAATTATTTTATATAAAATGATTTAGGAAAGTGTTTGGAAGTGACTGGGCGCAATAGAGTTATATAAAGTAGTGTGTCTTTATGTCAGAAATCACAAGTTAGAAAATAAAATTTAATGAAATCCTATTCCCACTACAATAGAACATAGAAAGATACATGGACATATCTAAAACATGATCCTAGTGAAAAAGAGGGAGAAATTTTTATTGAGAGACAATATGCATATCTGATTAAAGGAGACACATAATGGTGATATATATTTGAGTGGGTTGATTAAAAAGTTTAAATATGGATATTATTCAAATATACCATTTGAATAATGATAGCGGAAACTAATTTTGTTCTTTAGAAAAAAAATTTTTTTTTTAGATAGAAAGCACGCAGGCGGGTGAGGGGGGCAGAGGGAGAGAGAGTGAGAGAATCTTAAGCAGTTCCACACCAAGCGTAGAGCCAGACGTGGGCTTGATCCTATGACCCTGGAATAATGGCTTGAGTCAAATACCGAGTCAGATGCTTAACTGACTGAGCCACCCAGGCACCTCAAAACCAATTTCATTCTTAAACAGAACTTACTTTTTATGTATGTTTCATCTACATAAAGAATAACTATCCATAGGGCACTACAGTACTGAATTTCCCATAGGAAACAGACTTCAGGCTTGAAGATCACACTCAATTATTGAGGAGCTATTCAGGAGGTATGAGCAGGTGAAGTCATAGACATGGGGTAGTGAAGCCACCAGAGACTGGCAGCAGTGGAAGCCATTTACCACCTTAGGCCTGATAGAAGAAGAGAGGGAACTGGGTCACTGGAGCTCATCTCCCTAGAATAGGGACGGCCATCTCACAGGATTTGTCCTGTGGAATGCAGCCTCTGTCATAATGGTGAGGGAGAAGGCTGGGGGAGAGGACACCTACCTGACTGACCTCTTACTCTTCCTGCATTTCTGGCTCTTGCTATTATTAACCCACTGTCCAAACCCAACAAATATTCACGGGGCAGGAGTGAGTGGATCAGGCCAAGAAGCATGGATGGGAGAGGAGGGGAAAACATCCTAAACAGGAACCACAGGTATTTCTAATATAATAAAAATAATGGTTAACTATGACATATGAGTAATACATTTATTGAAATAGTCATGTCTATGTAATCTGAGACAAGTAGAAAATGCAGAACAGGGGCGCCTGGGTGGCGCAGTCGGTTGAGCGTCCGACTTCAGCCAGGTCACGATCTCGCGGTCCGTGAGTTCGAGCCCCGCGTCGGGCTCTGGGCAGATGGCTCAGAGCCTGGAGCCTGTTTCCGATTCTGTGTCTCCCTCTCTCTCTGCCCCTCCCCCGTTCATGCTCTGTCTCTCTCTGTCCCAAAAATAAATAAACGTTGAAAAAAAAAATTAAAAAAAAAAAAAAAGAAAATGCAGAACACTACTTACAAATATACAACTATAGATTAGTAACCTTAGGTTACATTATGCAATGGAAACAAATAACACCAAAATCCCAGTGGTTTACAATGACAAGGGCTTATTTCCTGCTTAATCATGTGCCCACTGCCTGTCAGATGTGGCTTTGCTCCAACTGACTTCACTCTAGTCCTCGGCTGAAAAAACATACTCAATCCGGAATGCACTGGTCTCTTGGCAGAGAAAAAAGGGACATGGTAAACTATATGCTGGCTTATAAAGCTTATGAAATTTCACATGGAAAGCTTAATGTTATCCTTACTCACATTTCACTGGCTAAAGAAAGTCATGTGACCAAGCCCAATGTCACTACTGGTGGGCAGATTTAAGCATTCTTGGTGGGGAAGGATGGTGGTGGGCAAGACCCTTAAAAGTCTGTTTCTTTGTTTTTAAGTTTTGTGTTTTTTTTGTTTTGCTTTTTGTTTTGTTTAGTTTTGTTTTTGTTGTCGTTGTTTTTAATCTTGAGAGAGTGTGAGTAGGGTAGGGATAGAGAGAGAGAGGAAGAGAGAGAATCCCAAGCAGGCTCTGTCCTGGCAGCATGGAGCCCCATGCAGGGCTCAGACTCATGAACCATGAGATCATGACCAGAGCCAAAACCATGGGGCCACCCACGTTTATTTTAATTTTTGTTAACAGATAATATAATTTATCACATTCCATTATTTGTGAGTTGATATGTGATAATGAAAGCATAAAATATCAATTGAAAGCCCATGTAAAAATGTGTTCATATAATTACATAGCCATAGTGAGCTGAAGATAGAAGGGAGCTAAACCGATATCTGGATTTTACTAATGTAGGAAATGAGCCTCAGAAAGATGTAATGATGTGTCCAAGGTCATAACATTCAACAACTTGGATCAGATTGGTAATATCTAATTCTGCACTTAGGCCTCTTTCCAGCACAGGTCAGTTCTTTGTGAACAGGTTTTGTTAGGAAGGAAGGAGCTCGTTTTTCATGAATTTAATCCTATTTGTTGAAGGTCCATACCAATCACATTTAGGTATGAGGTATAATGCATTTTTAAGGACCTGCAGAGAGATCACTGTCAATTCATTCTTCTTCAAATCTCTCTTCTATATCTACCTCTGTATACAAGAGAGTGAGTAACAGAAAGATCACTTGGTGTTTGATGGGGATAGAGAATACAGGCACCAGTCTCAGATTTCAAAAATCACATGTTTTCTCTTCCATAAAATCTCCTAGATTAACTTTTGATAAGCAACTAATTTCTGGGCCATGATCTTTTAATGGAGAATTATAAAGAAGATACAAATAAACTGATATATTTAGGTAGAGAGGCAATCAAAACATCTTTGTTGCAAAGGTTGTCCAGAAACCTTTCATTAATGCTGTGTAACCACTGAGTTAATTGACTTCCCTGTTTGAAATAACAGGCCAAATCATAGTAGTGGAAAAGAAGGGACTGCAATAGCAAGCTTTCCCTTTGTCACCTGAGAGGACAAAACCCAGTACTAACCGTCTATCACCTTTATCCGTCAGAATAATGAGAAGACAGCTTTCAGATTGGCCTCCTAGGAATCACTACCCTTTATAAGATAATCAAATCTGACGTGTTGTTTATAGGTTGAATATTATTAAGTTTGGGATGCTTATAATGTACAGTTGTAGGTTATATTCTAATTTGTTGGCATTTTCTCATCTGACAAAACAAAGTGACTAAAAAATTAACAATAGCCACTCCAATGTGTGTGTGTGTGTGTGTGTGTGTGTGTGTGTGTGTGTGTGTGTGTGTGTAGGTGAATTTGTAGCTACTAAAGATACTTGCAACTTGCAATGATTTGGTAAGTATGTGACATTTATCCTTAACTGCTCCTCATAAAAGAATACTCAGAACTGCCTCTAACTCCTACTTCAATCTGTGTGGCATTATCAAAATTTGGTTAGACTGGAGTTTTCAGAATTTTAATGAGGTCGAGGAGTTAGACAAACAATGATTAATTTATAGGAAGGTCACCTTGGAAGTACAGTGAACATAGTTTTGTGATACAGCAAGAAAGATGATGCAAAAGAAAGGGAGTTAAAAAAAAAATTCTTATGTGCTCCGAACAGTAGGTTTACTACTGAATTATAACTCATCTGACAAGGCAATGGGATATTTTATTCATTGTGTTTAGACATTTTGATAAAAGTTTGGCTCAACTATAATGGGACAATTTGAGTGGAGACAAATCATCAGAGCCCACCAGACTGACTGAACATCTTTGTGCTTATTTGGTGTGTCTACTTCTCATTCTTTAAATATAACTGGCATGCTATTCTCAGAGACCAAAAGTACTTGCTTGCCATGAGCAGAATCTTGCCTGTGACCTTTGGTGTTCTCTCTGTTAAGCCATGTCAGTTCTCTCTCTCTCTCTTTTTAAATTTTTTCAATGTTGATGTATTATTTTGAGGGACAGAGAAAGATGGAGCATAAGCAGAGGAGAGGCAGAGAGAGAGAAGGAAAGGGAGATGCAGAATCCGAAAAAGGCTCCATGCTCTGAGCTGTCAGCACAGACCCCAACGTGAGTCCTGAACACACAGACTGTGAGATCATGACCTGAACTGAAGTCAACTGCTTAACCAACTGAGCCACCCAGGCATTCCCATGTCAGTTCTTATATAGATGCTCTCATGTACTTCAAGAGAAACTCCACATACAACAGGAACTTGACCAGACAATGAAATGTATAAAACCGAACATGGGCTCTAATTCCTACCAGGACAAAGTGACTGCCTCACACATTTAAAAAGGTAGTTTCAAGTCAGTAAGCATTTGTCTAGGGAATGCAAACCAGCTTAACTATTCAATGAAAAAATATAAGAAGCAATTCACTGTTAAACACAGTAGATACATGCATATGGCAAAAAAAAAAAAAAACTTTTATTAACAATGGTTTCTCTTTCCTAGCTTTTAGAGCATCCAGTCAAAATTTGACTGGATTCATACAAAAACATTTCCACCTTCCAGAGGATGATTTTTGCCTAAAATAACCCAGAGAACATTTGGGAATGTCCCAAATTATAGTTGCTATGTCAAATAAATCACGTCTACTATTTTGTAATTTTAACTACTAGAACATATTAGGAAATATGGCCTGTCATTCTTTTGGCTGAAGCACATGATTAAGCAGCTTGGTGAATGGAATGAACAGGTGCTGGGATGAAAATCAGAAAGTCCATTCATCTTCATGCTTCCAGGGGAAAATAAACCTTTTGGGGATTTCAACCAGTAGGACACCACTTTCTTGTTTTGGTAGGTTAGTGTGTTTTGGGTGTTTCAGAGCTTTTTCCGATAATTTCATGTTAGCTAATGTGGGAGACAATCCTATAATGAATTGCTTGCAGTACGTTTGATGCCTCATTGTTAAATCATACCAACTATTAGGAGGGAAGAAAGTTGCTTCCCACCATTTGGGCATTACTGAATGATAAATATCTTTTAGATACTAAGTGATGATATTAGACAGTAAACTCTGAATTCAAGACTATGTCTAAATCCTTAATATCACATGTTCTTTACATATAATAGCTATCAAAAATGTTGGTTGAAGGACTGAATAGAAAGTAACAATTAACTCAACAGGTAGATATTGCTTCTGTCCCTGGGATATCCTATATGCTGTCCCCTATACTTGGTTCAAGCTCATTCATCTTTTATATTTATCATCAGAAATCACCTCTAACAGGTGTCCTTCCCTGGTCATACCCCAAAGAGAGATGATTACTCTCTTTTCCGAGCTATCTTGATACCATCTGTATGATGTTATGTTGTGTATATATACGCTTTTAAAGTTTGTTTAAATGTATCTTCACTTCTGTGACTGAAGAGAATTCCTTTTGGTCATAGAATAGGGTTTTCTCTACTTAAAGGTGTGTGGTTATAAATATTGTATCTTGGGACGCCTGGGTGGCTCAGTCGGTTGAGCCTCCGACTTCAGCTCAGGGCATGATCTCACAGCTCGTGGGTTCAAGTCCCACGTCGGGCTCTGTGCTAATGGCTCAGAGCCCAGAGCATGCTTGGGCTTCTATGTCTCCTCTCTGTGCCCCTCCCCTGCTCGTGTTTTGTCTCTGTCTCTCAAAACTAAATAAACATTAAAAATCAATCAATCAATCAATAAATAAATAAATAAATAAATAAATATTCTATCTAGTATAGGCTATGTAATAGACTTTTGCTATAACTGGATAAATCCAGGATGGGTAAATGGGTTGAAGGAAGACGTGGTATCTTTACATCTGAATTTCCAAATATCTTAAAGGTTTTGTTGTTGTTGTTTATTTATTTTTGAGACAGAGACAGAGACAGAGAGAGAGACAGAACATGAGCAGGGGAGGAGCAGAGAGAAAGGGAGACACAGAATCTGAAGCAGGCTCCAGGCTAGGAGCTGTCAGCACAGAGCCCAACGCTGGGCCCAAACCCATGAACCATGAGATCATGACCTGAGCCAAAGTTGGACACTTAACTGACTGAGCCACTCAGGTGCCCCTAAATTTCCAAATATCTTTAAATAAATATGATCTGTCATTAGCATGAAATCAGTTGAATGTGATATGTGAGCTATTAACTTTCTCTCCAATTGCTAAAGAAGAATCCTTTGAAGATCTAC